TGTACTAAATGCTCAAAGGGGACTTATATATAATGTGCAGGGACCCTGAGAAGTGAAAAGTTAATTCTCTCTGGACACGTGGAAAAGTAATATTTGAGCTGGGCATTAAGAGTGGGGAAGAATTTTTCCACCGCACACCCCCAGCAATGTTCCTAGTCACATGTGACAACTCGCTGTTTCCAAATGTGCCTTGAGGCCTGGCACTTAGGGGCCTTTACTAATGCCGTCCTCTTGTCCCTCATCTGGCCCAGGTCTCATGTCAGTCCTGAGCACCATGTCAGAGTGAGGCCGGAATAATCCAACGTCGTTTCTCTTTGATCGGAACTATTGAGCTAATGCTAAGATGGAGGATGGCATGCAGGCTGGCTCCCATTGCACTCCACCCTGGCTGGTTCCCAGCGTACCCTACTCTGTCTGTGAAGAAAGAGGCTAGAGCAGTAGTGGGGACTAAACTCTAACCCTTTTTTCTCCTCTCTTGCCAAATTTCTAACTAAAGGGCCTGAGGGTATCATCAGACAGGTTTTTCTTATTAACCCTACATATTGTGGCTTACTTTCCAACCTGACTCTGGCATAACATCACACAACAGATAAAGAAGGAAATAAAAATATTTTATGACCATGAAAAGCCATCTCTCCGGGAAATGTGCATCTGTACAGAATTCACTTCCTTGTCAGGAGTGCCAGGCAGCTGTGGAAGAGTTTCATGGGGCAGGAGCTGGACATTTGCTTTCTAATTTCTCTCGGGCTGCTACCCAGGAGGCTTCATCTACATATGAAAAAACTTCCACCATGGCATTTCCTTGACTGATTTCAAAATTGCTTACACAAAGCCTAATTCTTGCTATTAATTACCAGTCAGAAAATCTTTGAATTCATCTATGACCTGCAAGTCTCTGCTTGGAGATATCTTGCCTTCTTGGATTGAACCAATGTAAATCTCACATGTGTAGATTTATGGCTTTTTTTTGTAACGTCTGTCTTTCTTTTTTTTTTTGAGTCAGAGTCTCACTCTGTCGCCCCCAGACTGGAGTGCAGTGGCATGCTCCCGGCCACCGCAGCCTCGACCTGCTGGGCTCCGGCGATCCTTCCGCCTCAGCCTTCCAAGTAGCCAGAACTACAGGCGCATGCTACCACACCCGGCTAATTTTTGATTTATTGTAGAGTTGAGGTCTCACCAAATTGCTCAAACCAGTGGGCTCAGGCAATCCACTTGCCTCGGCCTCCCAAAGTGCTGGGACTACAGGCTAAGCCATCAAACCTGGCCAACTTCTTTTTTCCTAAGATGTATACAACCAAGCTGCAATTCCACTACCTCAGGCACATGTTCTCAGGACCTCTCGGTATGGTGCCACAGGCCTAGGTCACTCACATTTGTCTCAGAATAAACCTTTTAAAATATTTTATAGAGTTTGGCATCTTTCATCAACAGGGGTTAGAGATGCCCCCAGGCAAAGGGGAGAAGGGCCTGGAGTCTAGCCTCACTGACATGGTACTCAGGACTGACACGAGACCTGGGCCAAATGGGGGACAAGGAGACAGCATTCCCTTCGAGGTTGTTCTCTGATTTGTCTCCCATGTGATTGTTTACTGTGGTTCTGTACTTTGTACATACCTGGACAGGAGCCCATTATGTGGATTATGCGCTGGTGTGTCTGACCATAGTGCTGCTGCTCACAGTTGAGACTGATCATTTCATCTCTGCACCCAGCAGGTGCCCAATCAAGATTTACTGTTGTAACAGCCGACGGGTTGGATGAACAGTTACGCATAAATCCTGCTTTTTATCTAGGCAAGATGTTGGACTGGAAGAACCAGTCATGCAATTAATTGAGAAAATAGTTGGTATGGCGTTTGGAAGCAATGCCTTATTTGGTGCAAACTGAGGAAGGTAGAATACTTCCCTTTTGGAAGATGGTCATGGACCATCACTAGGGGATCCCACCGGAGAGGTTAATTTCAGTTTGTTTGCCAAGTTTCTACACTAAGTGCTAGGGACTGAGGACACAAAGATGAACAAAACACAGCCCTCAACCTCAAGACGACAGATGCCTGATGAGGACTATAGACATGAAGCCTTCCCGTGTTGCTCAGGCTGGTCTGGAACTCTTGACCTCAGGTGACGCTCCTGCCTGGGCCTTCCAAAACACTGGGATGATGGGCATGAGTCATTGCATCTAGCCTAAACTGCATTTTTAAGTTTTTTTTTTTTAACTCTAACCCTGCTCTCAGTGGATAGGCACCAGAATTCAGATGACAAGAGTTCTGCTGCTGTCACATTCTCTCCATGCAGAGCACTGTCAAGTCCTGTTTTGCATATAGACAACATGGTAGTGGGGTCTTCAGGAAAACCTTCTCTCCTCACAAGTTTTTTTTTATAAACAGTGCCAACACCATCTCTCTTTGCTAAGAGCCACTGAGCTAAAGCTAAGATGGTTGTCTGCACACAAGATGGTTCCCACCACAGCCCACCCTTTTTGTAAGGAAAAGGCCCAACAGTAGTCATCAGAGATGCTATGGGCAAGGGGAAGGAGGGCCTGGACTGTGGCCTCACTCTGAGATGGTGCTCAGGACTGAAGCCCCCGTGGCCAAGGGTATAACCTTAGAAACCCAGGAAACAGAAATAAAACATTGCCTTTGGGACCTCCCTCAGTGAACTTGTTTGGGGGTGCCCAACTCCAGTGATGGTCCCTCAGATTCACAGACTGGCCTCCTTGAATCTCCACACAGACTGGACCCCATGTGTGCCATGCCAGCCTCAGTCAGTATTCCCTACACAGCCACTGGTGAAGTGCAGGATAGGAGGCTCTGCCCCATGAAACTCTTCCACAGCTACTGAGCACTCCTGGCAAGCACAGCCTTAAGTCAGACTGCCTGGGGGTCCCATCTTAACACCTACTAACTGTGTGACCTTGGCCAGTGACTGACAGCCTCTGCACATCCACTCCTTTAGCTATAAACAGAATCAAGCAGTGTGGCTGTGGCATGTGCAGAAGGGAATCCACTGGATGAGAGGATGAGGAGGGACAGAAGGTAAATGGGAGAAATGAAGCTAGTTCCATCAATAATTCCAGGCAGAGTGTGCAGGGAGGCGTGAACTTGGGAAGAGCCACAGAACTGGGGGATGTTTCTACCTGTGGGAGTGAGCAGTGGTGGGAGTACATGGGAGTCCCACCAAGTGGAGCTGGGTTTCCGAGAAAGGTACACTGAGAGAGCACCAGTTCTAGCTGTCCTGAAAACAGAGATCTGTCTAGACTACCGATGTCATCTTGAGACAGTCACAGGCCAGATGCAGTTGGCCATCATAAGAGCCACTTGCGGTCTGGCTCTGCCTTGGGGAGGCCCACAGAAGGGGACCCTCATCTGGGATAAAGGACGGGATAATAGAGGGGAAACACTCCAGCTTAGGTATTCAAGGGTTAAATGGGGTTGGTGGGGCGGAGAGTTTCTTTGAGGTGGTAGCAGGTAACCATGAAGAATAACGATCTAGCCCTGTGAGCATTCCAGGGGAGGGAGCAGGCCCTGGGATGGCATAGTTGACCTATACAGGGAGTCAACATGAAACCGGTGTTGTTGGCACATGGTTGGCATGGCCTGGCTGATCCGAGGCTGCCCAGTAGGAAGAGTTTGGGTTCCAACCTGATGCAGCAGGAGCCTTTGCAGGGTTTATACAGAAGGGTGGCTTGGTTCACTTGTATTTTTAGAAGATCATTGTTGCTGCTGGTGTAGAGAATGGTTTGGAAGAGAACAAAAGTAGAAGCAGGGTCAGTTGGAAGGCTGCTGCAACTCCTAGTAAGAGATAATGGTGGTTGAAGACAGAGAAAGAAAAGGGAGAACATTCCAGAGGAATCCCCGAACACAAACTGGTAGGATGCCGAAGCAGTGGGCGTGGAGATGGGCATGGGGGAGGGTGGGTAGAAGGAAAATGAATCCAGGACTATTCCTAGGCTTCTGGCTGAAGTAATACAGAAATTCAAGGTGCTGAGAACTGAGATTACAATGGCTGTGGCAGTAAATCGAGAACAGGGTTAGAGTTAAAAAAAAAATTAAAAATACGGTTGAGGCTAGATGCAGTGACTCATGCCTATAATCCCAGTGCTTTGTGAGGCTGAGGCAGGAGAATAACTTGAGGTCAGGAGTTCGAGAACTGCCTGGGCAACAGAGCAAGACCCTGTCTCAATAAAATACAATAAAACAAAAATAAAAAAGATGTAGTTTGAAGAAGTTAAGTTTGAGACGTCTGTGAGGCGACCAGATAGAAATGTCAAGTCACTGGTTTCTATAATGATCCTGGAGATCTGGACTAAGGATATAAATGTGGGAGTCAAGTCAACACAAAGATGCCCTTGAAACCATGGGTGTGCATGGGATTTCCAAGGAAGAGATTCCAGGGCGAGCAGAGAGGTACGAGTAGGCAGACACTGCGGGACACGTCATCCAGCCAGTTGGCAAGAGGAGGAAAGAAGGCCGGGCAGCTGGAGGATGGCCACAGCTGCCGGCAGCCGAGAAAGGAGCATGTTTAATGCAGGGGGTTTGAAGGACAGCGCGAAATGGGCACAGAGGTCAAGGAAGGAGAGGGAGAGAAAGGTCCAGGGAACACACGCACCATCTCCACACCAGAGAAACTTTCCAAAGATGGGAACTGTGGCTGTGGTGAACTCTCAAGTCACTCCAGGTGGGAGGTGTTGTTCATTTCAGGTCCACACCGGGGCGATGCTGCGGGGCGCCTTTGCTCCGAGAAGGCCATTCTGCGGGTTCCCAAATCCTGCTCCCACAAGGGTCCCTCTAACTAGCTGTTTCTTCACGTTCCTCTCCCGGGCCCCACATCACCTTGTCTTTTTCCCAAAGGGTGAGCTATGTTTGTCATCTGAAATCCCATAAAGCATCATAACATTTTACTAGTTGCTTTGGGTCTGAGCCAGAAGTAAAGGTTAATGACATTAAGAGCACACACAGAAATTGGATTATTGTCCATGGTGACAGTTGTGTTTCATTACTTACTGTTTTCAGACAGCTCCACAATGTAATAAAGAATAGGACTGTTTCCATCAAAGGGTCGAACCCAAGAGAGCATCACGGCATGACTATGGGAGGAATTTGGGCTGGCCAGGAGGTTCTGAGGTGAATGAGGCAGTTCACTTGAATAAAAGGAATGAAAAGGGAAAAGAAGAAAATGCACATCAGAATCAAGGTTAGTCTGTGTTCTTACACTGGGTAGTCCTGGTGTATAATGTTTTGAAAATGAAGAACATAAAATCTGACCCCAAAACAAACACTAGCTTCCTCCACCCCCTCAAAAAGAACAAATAGAACCCAATTTCACTATTCACAGTGTTATTTTGTTTTCTGCATATAGTTTGATTTTATTCCTATGCTTGATACAGAAACAACTAATGACACTGTCACTTAAATAGGGGGATAGAGGGATGCAGATATACATATATTATTTAATTGAAAAAACTGGGTCAACAATTTGTTTTTACAACGGGAGACTGGTAATGAAAGTGCAGCGAACCATATAACAGGAAAAGGCCTGGTAAATATGACTTAATATGAAAGTTTCCAGCATTAGCCATTTGGAGTTATTAGCCAAAATGCCCATATATATTTCTAGGCAGCACAGTCTCACTTATTGGAAGCATGAGGTTATATTGTCACTATGTCTTCTATTGGAATATGGTGCTTTGGGGAAGTACTTAAAAGGAAATGTGGAGAAAACACTAACTAGAATCCCACGGAAACGGTGAGTAACACATCAACGAGGCTATTAAATGGAAATGCAATTAAAGCAAATAAATTCTGAAAAGAAGTTACAGATGAAGAAGGTTTTTACTGGGATTTACTGGTGACAAAGCTACAAAACCCTACTGTCTGGTTTATACCAGTGACGGGTGTGCAACCTTAAAACCATAAGCTGCCCAAGTCCAGTATTTAACCTTTACAGCTCATGAATCTGGGAGCAGGACCCTGTTTTGCGGCTGTTTTGGATGGCTGCCTCTTCTCTAAATGCTCCCAGGCTGTGCTGGGGAGGGGGGTTGCTGAGTGTGACCTGCTTCACCTACTAACTGGTTTTTGGTCTCTCTTAGACTTCAATTACTGCTGAACCACATAGGTCAGAACAAAAAGCCATAATTATACTTGATATTTTTAATTTAAAAAATGAACTTACTACATTTTGAAGTTTATTAAGCTGTTTTGTGGTTTCAAATGCCTAAAAACACAGCTCTCTCTAACCCCTGCGTGCTGCTTATAAACATACTAACATTTTTAATGTAGATTGCACATTAGTACAATAAGGACCAAACTTGAGCCTGAATCTTGTTTTCTCTTTGTGAATTAAGTTTTAAATGCGAAAAGGAGCTGCTATTTCTATTTAAGCTCTCTAGTAATCAAATGCCCTTAGATTTCCATTGAAGACCAATATGAAGGAAATGCAAGGATAAAAATATCTGTTCTACTTCTTCCAAGCCCCATTTCCTATTTTTCTTTCCATTCTGAATTGGTTGGTCTGAGCCAAACTGAAGATGCTGAAATAGTCCTACCTGAAAACAAACCAAGAATAAAGCTGGATCGATATAGCCAATAAGACTGCTGTATCATAAAGAATTTATCTGGTCTGGGGTAGAGCTTCTAAACCCTAGCGCATTTCCTGAGTGGTAGAACTGCTTTTGTCATTCATGGAGAGCCTCTCAGACCACACCTCAGTTTATGCTTATGAGGTGACTCATGGTTGGCTCCTGGATAGTTCTGGGACAGGTCTGGCCATGCTAGAAAAAGCAACCATAGGATTTGAGGGTTGGGGTGTTGAGCTAGTGATGTTGGCCCAACTTTCCGATCTCAGGGGAGATGGCTAGTGACTGAGTTTAATCACGTGACCAATGATTCCATCACTCATGCCCACATAAGACTAGTGGGAGGTTTTGGGGCAGTGAGGGTGGTAGGAACGCAATGGTGAGGGAGCAGGCACAGTATGAGGGGCCTGGCAGGGTCAAGGGCAGATACACTATGCCTGACCAGAGAAAACAGGAAGGAATCTATGTTCACAATTTCTGAGATATCTTTTTGACATTGGATTTCCAGGGCTTGCACTGGGACCCCAAGGACAGCTCACTGGAAATGGTCCTGAGAGACTGGACAAAACATCAGATGATAATCTGTAACAGTCGGGAGGCAAGATAGACCATGACACCAAAGACGGGTTCCAGGTTCAAGGAGCCAGGAAGCTTTGTGAACCCACAGCAAGGGTCAAGGCGAAGACGGGCAGGATACAGATACACAGCTGGCTCAGGACAAACCTTGCCCAATGGACATTCACATTCTAGGTGACCATGATATGATACTGGCAGGATCCTGTTGGACAATAGGAATGTTTGATCTGTGGCCCCCGAGAAGCTGCTGTTTCTCTGCAGCTTATGACCTTCTGTGTTTTTCATATGTCTTTTTCTTATGACCTTAAGTGGGTTATGTTTGACCCAATTCTATGCTCTAAAAGCATATCTTTCCCAAGTAGTCAAATCATGAAGTTTTCACACTTGATTTCAGATCATGCTTCTCTTAGTCCAAGAAGAGAGTGCAGGTGAGTGAAGGGTACAAGGCTGGAGTGCTTTGTAGACTGTGATCCAGTCACACTATCTTAAATGGAGGCCACTAACTGAGCACATTCTGTCATACAGGTGTTAGCTCCTAACGTCCCAGGCATATTCTCCCTCGCTCAGAGCTTTCTCAGTACCACTCAGGATATAACTTTACTCAGTGTGATTTCTGATTTCCCTCCTGCCAGTAGATCAAAAGCAGGCAATGAGAAGGCAGTAGGGTTTGCTAGAAGCAGCACACTGAACAGCACGATGGTAGTCGACAGCCTGAGATGAAGGGATTTAAAAAGATTTTTAAAAAATATTAAAAATAAATACTTAAGAACTTAGTAAAGTAGTCTTGAGACATTTAGTGCAGGAACCAAGAGCTATTAGCCCAGCGGTGCCCAAAGCCATAAGTGTCTGTGATGTGCAAAGAAGCAATAAGCCTTCCTCTGCCACCACCCAACAAAGTCACTCCACTGGTCCAAGGTCACCCAATGTAAAAATGTGCCTTTTACACACATTGCAGGACTCAGAGTTGGAAGAAAATGTAGATTTTTTTTCCTAGTTCTAGTCTCTACCCCATATGAAAAATCTCCCCCATAATATCCCTCGTGTTCAATATTCCCTGTTCAGCAATGCAAAGAACCTTTTAGTATAGAGGCATACCTTAGAGATATTGCAGTTTCAGTTCTAGACTACCACAGTAAAACAAATATTGCAATTAAGAGAGTCACACAAATTTTTTGGTTTCCTAGTGCATGTAAAAGTAATGTTTACACTATACTGTGGTCTATTAAGTATGCAATAGCATTATATCTAAAAAAAATGTACATATCTTAATTTAAAAATAATTTGGGCAACCCCTTCAGGTCCCCTCCCACTGTGGGAGCTTTTCTGTCCTCTCAATAAATTCTGCTTTAAAAATAATAATAATAATTTATTGCTAAAAATGCTAACAATCATCCGTGCCTTCAGCGAGATGTAATCTTTGTACTGGTGGAGGTTCTTGCCTCGATGTGGATGGCTGCTGACTTACCAGGGTGGTGCTTGCTGAAGACTGGGGTGGCTTTAGCACCTTCTTAAAATAAGACAACAATGAGGTTTGCGGCATTGATTGATTTTTCCTTTCACGAAAGATGAGGTGCTGTTTGAGAGCACTTAACCCATAGTAGAACTTTCAAAACTGGAGTCAATCCTCTCAAATCCTGCTGCTGCTTCACCGACTAAGCTTATGTAATATTCTAAATCCTTGTTGTCATTTCAACAATGCTCACAGCATCTTCACCAGGAGTAGATTTCATCTCAAGAAACCACTTTCTTTGTTCACCCATAAGAAGATGCCTAAGATGTTCATGTACAGTGCTTATAAACATACCAATATTTCGAATGTAGACTGTAACTATTCAAGTTTTATCATCAGATTGTAGCAGTCCAGTCACATTTTCAGGCTCTACTTCTATTTCTAGTTATCTTGCTATTTCTACCACATCTGCAGTTACTTCTCTGCTAAAGTCTTGAAGCCCTCTAAGTCATCCATGGTGGTTAGAATCAATTTCTTCCAAACTCCTGTCAATGTTGATAATTTGATCTCCTCCCATGAGTCACGAATATTCTTAATGACATCTAGAATGGTGAATCCTTTCCAGAAGGTTTTCAATGTACTTATCCAAGCTCCATAAAGGAATCACTATCTACAGCAGCTATAGCCTTATAAAATGTATTTCTTAAATAATAAGATTTGAAAGTCAAAATGACTCCTTAATTCATGGACTGCAGAATGGATGTTGTGTTTAGCAGGCATGAAAACAACATGAATCTCCTTGTACAACTCCATCAGAGCTCTTGGGTGACCAGATGTTTTGTTAATGAGCAGTAATGTTTTAAAATAAATCTTTTTTTTTGAGCACTAAGTCTCTACAGTGGACTTATATAAATATTCAGTAAACCATGCTATAAACAGATGTGGTATCATCTAGGCTTGGCTATTCTGCTTATAGACCACAAGTAGAATAGATTTAATATAATTCTTAAGGGGCCTAGGATTTAGGATTTTCAGAATGGTAAATTAGCATTGGCTTTAACTTAAAGTCAGCCTGTCCTTTGAAACTTTGAAGCCAGGCATTGACTTCTCCTCTTTAGCTATGAAAGTCCCAGATGGCATCTTTTTCAAATAGAAGGCTGTTTCATATATGTTGAAAATCTGTTGTATAATGTAGCCACATTCATCAATGATCTTAGCTAGATATTCTGGTAACGTACTGCAGCTTCTATATCAGCCCTTGCTGTTTCACCTTGCATTCGTATGTTATAAAGATGACTTCTTTCCTTAAACCTCGTGAACCAGTCTCCGCTAACTTCCAACTTTTCTTCTGCAGTTTCCTCACCTCTCTCAGCTTTCACAGAATTGAAGAGAGTTAGGGTCTTGCTCCGGATTAGGCTTTGGCTGCCTTTAGGGAATGTTGCAGCTGGTTTGGTCTTCTATCCATACCACTCAAACTTTTCCCATATCAGCAATAAGGTTGTTTTACTTTCTTATCATTCATGTGTTCACTGGAGTAGCA